GACTTTTGAATTTAGTAAAAATAAATATATATATATATATATAAATACACACACACAGAAAAAAATACATAAAATAAACCACTGAAACACAATAAACACACAAACCTGGGTCAGTGAGATAAAAATTAACTGCAACCTGGAATACTTGACATGCTTTTTTAGGCTAATATCACAACCACATAAAATTCTGATGTATAGCAAAACATAGCAGTGGTTCAGCCAAGCAGGCTATGCAATTCCTACTGAAGCCAAAATGTCAGATTTTCACTTTGAGTCTGCAACAGCAGGACTGCCAGTGGTGTGAATTGTGAGGGGCATAACTTTGCTTCTATTTCATAGATATCCTAATGTTATTGCTCAGTCACCTGAAACAACTTTTCTTTTTTTAAATCCTAATGTACACTTTTGTTTACTAACATTTAAAAAAATAAAGTCCCAAAAAGATGCAAAAATTTGAAGGGAGAGGAGGGGGAAGAGTAAAGTTCTCATTTCTTTACAGAGTAGGAAAGATTCTTTTCTCTTTTCTTACATCTTTCTCTATTCCAGTTTTAGTGGCACAAGTCAATTTTAAGTACAGCTTTTTTTTTTTAAGAAACAGCGTTAAAAAACTAGAAATACATGCTTACACACTCGAGTACTTGAGTCTATTAACCAACAGTCGTTCTCAGCAGAAGTTTGTGCGCTTTCTGCATGTGCATAGGAGTCAGTTCATATGTCATTTTAAGAATGTGAGGCTTAATATTAATCAGTCTAGAAATAAATTGTCTTGTCAGTGTTAACAGTGTACACTGAAGAAACAGTAACGACATAGCTGAGTACAGTTCATCTCTTCCTCATCTACATGAGACTATTTTTGGATTCTCACAGTCTCCTAAAGGTGTAATTCTATCTAGGAACATAAAACAACTTACCTTTAACACTTTTTCTGTTAACATCAGCTCCTTTTTCAAGTAAATACTGAGCAATTTCTTTGTGGCCTTTATAACAGGAAATCATCAAGCACGTGTGCCCATGGCGGTTTGATACTTCCAGGTCTGCTTTGTGCTCCACAAGGTACTTTACTATCTCCAGGTGGCCATCGAAACAGGCAGCTCTGAGGGGCGTTGAATTTGTCAGGGTTGTGTTGTTGACAGAAGCACCACGATCCAACAGGGACTGAACCACGTTCAAGTGGCCGGCAGCGGACGCTGCCCAGAGCGGTGGAGCTCCCTCAATGGTCTCACCGTCAAAACTCACCGAACCGCCAACTTCTATGGATGCAGAGCAATGGTCCAACAAGTACTCCACCATGTCAAGGTGACCATAACGGGCAGCCACCAGAAGTGGTGTGGCACCATCGGTTTTTTCTGACATCAGTAAGGCCACCTCTTCTTTTGTTTTGCTTGCCAGTAACTTGGAAAGGAGCCGCAGCTTGCCTTCACGAGCTGCATTGAACACCGCTGTCTTTAGATCCATCTAGCCTGCACCTCTCCAGCTGCGGGCAGATGCACGCCTGCTTCTTTTCTTTCAGTCACGAGCACGAACCTCCCGGCAGCACAACCGCTCAACAGCAAGCCCCCAAATTTCTCTCGGGTCGGTTTCACCTAGACGGGACAACATGGAGTCCGTGAGCGAGGTCCAGACCAATCACCGCCTCTCCTTGACAGATCTGCAAGAAAAACAATCCAGAATGCTTCCACCCTTCCCGCAGACACCCAGCACGACCCATCCAGCGGCCTCTCGCGGACCCTCCCGGCGCCGTGCAGCGCCGCCCCAGGACGGCGGCCGGACCGAGCCCTGCCCGCGGCAGCGCAACCGCCACCGCCCTGCCCGGACCAAGGGTTACCTTCCCGCGGGGCCGCCGCTTTCAAGCGGACGCTCCCGCCGCCCGCCGCCCCCGATCCAGCGTCTCCATGACAGACCGCGGCCCGCCGCAGACGCTCAGCCGCGGCCGCACACCAGGACGCAGCGTAGCCTAGCAGGCAGAACCGCCGCCAATGAAGAACCCGCGCGGGCGCCCGGCAGCCACTGGGGGCGGACGGAGGGAGGGACTGCGCAGCCGCGGGAGAGAGGCAAGGCGGGGGGCTGAGGGCGGAAGGGGTGGGTCTCCGCGTGGCGCGGGACGCAGTGAGAGCTGTGGGGCGCAGCCTGGAGGTGGCGGCTGTTAGTGTGGGTTGTGGGGTCAAGGAAAAGGCAGAAGCGTGTAAATGGGAGCTATAAAGGGGTAGGGAAGCTTTGGGAGGTACGCGGATGGAACTGAGGAGTGATTGAAGGCTTACAAGTTTTAATCAGCGGTGTGTGGGGGGAATGTGAAGAGGGAAGTGCGTGCTGAGCGTCGAAAATAATATCCTGGTAGGAAGGTGCCGTTAGCATGGAATCGTTTGTGGAGTTCTGGAAGCGCTCTCACGGTCGTTTACAATGGGATTGGGCTGTGTATATAACACAGTGTTACATAATATATATAATATATAACATATACACACAGTGTATATAAGTAGCGCGCTGGGGGGAAGGGAGCAGGTCTGCCCTTTAGGGAATAGGGAAGTGATAAACCAATGGATCTAAACAGAAATAAATTGTTAAATAAAACATAGCAGCAGTTATGCTGGGAGTTACTGAAAAACATTTGAAAGTGCAGTAGTTGGTGACAGCCAATGTGGCTTCACACAGGGAGGTCCTGCTTAACTAATTTAATCTGCTTTTATGACAAGGTCACCCATCTAGATGACCAAGAGAAGACCATGAATGTAATATTTTTGCATTTCAGCAAAACTTCCACTTCTGTTTCTCACAGTATCCTTCTGGACAAAATATCCAGCCTACAGCTCGACAAAAACATACTGTGATGGGTGAACAATTAACAGAAGTCTCATGCTTAAAGTGTTCAGTAAATGGAATTGGATGAGGCTGGCAGCCAGTCACGAAGGGTTCTGCAAGGCTCCATTTTACAGGCTGTTCTCTTCAGTGTTCTCATCAGTGACTTGGATTCAGGACTTGGAGACATACTAAGTTTGTGGACAACACTAAATTGGGAGGAGATGTTGGCTCCCTTGATGGCTGAGGAGCCTTGTAGAGAGTTCCTGACAAAACATGGGCCTGGCAGCCACCAGCCACGTGAAGTTTAAGAGCAAGTGATGGATTCTGCACCTGGGCGGGGCAGCCATGATTATATCTACTGACTGGGAGATGAGAGGCAGCTCCACAGGAAGGGATCTGGAGGTTCTGTTTGATTGAATGCTGAAGCTGAGTCAGCAGTGTGCCCTGGCAGCCAAAGAGCCTGTTGTACCCTGGGGTGCACAGACCCAGTACTGCCAGTGAGAGAGGGACCGTCCCTGTACTGGTGCGGCCTCACCTCAGGCACTGTGTGAGGCTTTGGGCACCATGATATAAGAAGGATGCAAAGCTATTGGGGAATGCCAAAGGAGGGCTACAAAGATGGGGAAGGATCTGGAGAGAAAGATGTATGAGGAGAAGCTGAGCTCCCTTGGTTTGTTCAGCCCAGAGAGGAGACTGAGGGGAGGCCTCATGGCAACCTGCAGCTTCTTCATGAAGAAGCTGTATCTCAGCTCTCAGTGTAGACACTAAAAGTCTTTATTAACATGGAGATCCCTTGAAATTTTTTTTCCCACTTTTCATCACAGGCCATGGAGTACCCCCCAGCATGACTATACTTTTGCTAGATACTGAGCTAATTCCTACATTTCTGTGCTGCATTTTGCAAGGCAGATGTGTGTTCCAGCTGTTCTTCATCATTTACATATCTCATGTCCTATCTCAAGAAGTACTCAGTTACCCAGGCTGGTCTGGCCAAGAGTTAAATTAGGAAGAATGTATAGGACTGTGTCATGTGAGCTGGCCAGGGGATGTAAACCTGTGCCCCAAAGCTGGAGGGAAGGCTTGAAAAACTTCTGACCCCTCCCCAGCCTGCATATATCCTGAGTAGTGTTTGTGCTTGGCTGCATGGTAGAAAGCCCTTCTCTGCTTCAACTCTGCAAGTTGTTAGCTTTCCTTCTCCCTGGGCCATTAATTCACAACGGTGAATTACATTCTGTAGCTCATGCGTGGACACAGGCCAAGAGGGAGAGGTTTGGTCCTTTAATTCCTCACTTCAGCAGGTAAATGAGCACCTCTGCCCATGTGCTCTGGAGAGAAAAGATGAAACTTTGCCTCCAACAATGTCAGCTGAGCTAGGATTTTACCTCACTGAAAGCCACGTCAATATTTGGCTCTCTAATTTTCTATAGTTGTACTAAGAAATTGGAGAGATAAATAAGGAAATAGTAATCAATCTAGTTACAATATAGTTACAATAGTGCATGTAAAAACATGCACTAATCACGCCAATTTTGCAGGCTTTTAAATTATTTATATGCATATATGTACACATATACATGTATATACATGTATAATGGAAAGTGATTTATTGATTCACTTCCCTAAATGTGCACAGTGGTCTACTTATTGAAAGTGTACAAGTGCTATTCCAAACAGTAAAACTAGTGAATTTAATACAGCATAATTTAAATTTAAACTGCCAAAATTAAAATTCTTCCTTTAAGCACTATTTGCCACTTATAAAATATTCCCAGATTGATTGGTATGGTTGTTTCAAGACAGCAGTTGACTGAACTGTAGATAGCAAACTCATTAAAAATTAGTCTGCTCTACTTTAACCATTAGACATAGGTGGTAATTCTCATGGTGCTACCCAGGCCAGAGCAAGTCATGCTGTGCCCTGGTGGGATCCACCACCAGAGAGACACCGGTTGTGTGTGGTGGCTTTGCATGCAGTGAGCTGGTGTGACTAATCCCTTGATTTGCTAAAATCCAGGTCAAGACCTTGTGACACCAAAAGCCTCTTACATCCTGCAGGCTATACCTGTTCTGGTTTATTACACAAGTGAAATCCTGGGGGAGGTTGCTCACAGTCTCTGTCCTGCCCTTTTTTACCCCATCCATATTATCCTCCTGCTCTTTTCCCTTCTTTGCTCACAGGCCAAGGCAAAGACCAGGCCTGACAGCTTTGATACAGATAAATGGAATTGTAGGTATGAAACAGAAAAGATCTCCTCAGTGAGTAGAACAAAAAATAACCTTTGTTTTCTAAATATAGTACAAGTATTTCACCTACCATGGTGCCTATTAGGCTAGCTGTGATATTTGATAATATGCATCCCTCCACTGATTGATTAGATCACACTCAGAAAAAGCAGGGAGCAGATCATCTGAAATGAAACAGAGCTCAAGAAGGCTCTAGGTGGTCCAAAGCATTGGAAGCAAGCATCTCTGTGGTAAAAAGCTGCTTTCCCTCAAGTAGACTCAGTAGAACAGGAGCAGTTGGAAACCAGAGAAATGCTGCGTTTGCTGTAAGCAGCACTAGCACAGAGGATAGACACAATACAACATGAATGCTAGGCAACAGGCAGGACTGCAACACTGCATGGCATGGCCTGGCACAGCATGAAGCAGCTGCAGCAGAAGCTGTGGGATGGCTGGGAATGTTCTGCTATCCTCCAGCCCTAGGCTTTGATGTGTGGCCGTGCATTTCAGACATCTGCAGCTGTAGCTGTCCCTGGAAGTGTGCAGCAGCAGCAACATGCAGTTTGAATGAGTGTTGTCTTCCTGAATATAACCAGAAACCTGCAGGCCAGTGCGCTGTCTGTGTGTGTAGGGGTGTCTGCAGGTAAGAAGGGGCTTCTCATTTTCTGCCTTCAGAACATTCGCAGTGGCAGCTGGTCAGACACAAATATGCTACCCCTCATCTTTGGGAGCTGTTTCTCATTAGATTGCAAGTTGTGACTTTTCTGTTGGTCTACTTCTGACCACTGTTCCCAAGTTACTGCTGAGAAATATTGGTATTGGCTGGTCAGAAAGCTATTTTAAAGCCTGGCTTCACTCTAGGCTAGCAGGCTTATTGCATCACAAGGCTTCGGTCTCAATATTTCCAGTTCCCTTGCATGGGAATGTCTCCTCTGCCTGTCTGCCTGGTGGCTTTTTGCAAAGAAAGACTGGACTTCTGGGGGACAGTTCTCCTTATGGAGCTGCTTGCTCCTGGCCACAGCCAACGTTGGCCACCTTATCTGCCTGCGTAACCCCCTCAGCAGCAACCCTTAGTTTGCCTTTCTGAGCAAACCTCCAGCAGATACACAGCAGCCAGTTCCCTCCTCATCAGGCCTCCCTGTTCCATTGCTGCAATATATGAGCATCTACTCTCTCCTTTTTTTTTTTTTTTTTTTTTTGCACAGATTATTTTACTGTAGTAGGGCTTCTCACAAACACTCCTCAGAAGAGGTTTCTGGAGCAGATTGGAGCTGTTTGCTTGTTGGTTTTTTTTTTTACACTGATGACACTGAGCTTATTAAACCTGTTCTTCACAGATGGCCTTAGTTTATTTAAGATTTATAGATCCCTTGAATTTATTCTAGCAATACCTTGGATACATAGCCACAGTCCTCTCCTTAGGTACCCCCAGCTCTGGCTGCCAGCCAAGATGCTCAGGAAAACCATCCCTGGCACTGAAATTTGAGAAGGCGTGGGAAGGCTGAATGGCTGTGTTTTGATAGCCTTTTGTCCCTCCTAGCAGTTATGCTGAATGAGAATTTCTGTCTTCTGAGAAGAAGAGCTTCTAGTTCAACTTAACCCTGCCCTTTCTCTATGGGATGAATAAGTGACATGGCACCTGTGCTTCATGTTTGCCACATGACAAGTTGATTGGGCTAGAAATTTTGCAACAGGAATATACTTTTTAGTGAGATAAAGAAGAGCATATGTCTTATTCCAGTTAATAAATTTTGGCAAATAAAATACAGATAGCAACATATGGATTGCTATCCTTGCTTACAGCTGTAAGTAATAAGGCACAGAGGTTGCTGTTGTGCCTTCAGAGGCCAATCAGCACCTAACCCACCAGACACGTTGCAGAACAATTTTC